AAAATGTTAAAAAAAAAAAGGAAAGAAAAAAGTAGCGTTCTTATTTAAACACTAATTTCTTTTTTTTTTTAAGGTTTTTGCCATTGGGCACGTGCACTCATTGATGAAAGACAGAGAGCAATGGTGAGGGAAAGTGAGAAATCACCACCCCCCAGGGATAGCTACATTGCAATCTCTTCTCTTCCATTCGCCTCCTGGGCTTTTGGGCACACATACATACGTATCCAGCAAGACTTTCAAGCCCCCAGGTCTGAGACTCAAACTGTGGTCAGCCTGTGGGAATAAGCAGCATAACCACTACACCCCTAGCTGTCTCCACTAATTTCTATTTATTTTTTATGGAAGACACATTCACACGATTGAAAATACAAAACACAGGGGCCAGCAGGTGGAGTGGTGGTTAAGGTGCTGGACTCTGACATGGCCAACCATGGTTGAAGTCCCAAGCCCAGCAGCTTACTTTCTCACTCTCCCATTCTCTCTGTCTGTCTCTCTCTGGTCAAAATTGAAGAATAATAATAAATAAAATTAAATTTTTTTTTTTAATTTTAAAAAGAAAAAAATACAGAACACAAGAAGTGACCCATTTAGTCAGACCTCTCCCTGCGTCTCGCATTCACTAGTTCACCAAGTCTCCGCATGCCCACAGCCACCCAGCACCACGCAGAGGCCACGGCATCTGCCCGCACCTAATGCATCGGGAGCAAATGTGCGCAGGTACTTCACCCACTGACCACGTTTGCCGACCCAGTCAGAGTCACTAGATGCCGGGGCTGAGTCCAGGACTTGAACTGCAGTCAATCACGTGGAAGTCTGTCTCAGCCTCACCCACTCACAGATCCCGCCCTAGCAGCCTCTGTCACCACAGATTCATTCAGCGAGTACCTCTTCAGTGCCAGGTATCCTTCCAGCCAATGGGGACACAGCAGGGAATAAAACAGACAAACACCCCAACATCTCTGCTGTCACAGAACCCAAGTGGAAAGTTTCTCCATAGTTCTCTATAGAGAGGAACCAAAATACAGTGTAAGTACCTTAGAAAGAGACAAGTGATAGGGACCAGCAGATAGCATAATGGCTATGTCACTGGACTCCCATGTAGTCAAGCGCGGTTCAAGTCCCAGACCCAGAGGCTTAAACTCACGCTGGGCGCGTGTGCGTGCATGCCCTAGATCCCGAGAGGAGAATGGAGAAGGGATTGCGGCATGGCCATCCCCCCTGGGGGGTGATTTCTCGCTTTCTATCTCTCTGTCTCGCTCTGTCTGTCTGGCAAGTGCACACGCCCTATAGCAAAAACCTCTAAAAAACAAAAAAACAAACAAAAAAAAAAGAAAGTGACAAGTGATGAGCAGAGAAAATGCAAAACAGAGAAACGCAAACTGCTAAAGTGGACAGAAGACGCCAGCAGGTGGTATGGTGCTTAAGGCACTGGATTCCCATGTGGTTGACCACGGTTCGCATCTCAGACTCAGTGGCTTTAATATCACACCAGGCACATGTGTACGCCTGCCCAAAGTCCCAAAAGGAGAATGAAGGAGAAGGGGCCACCCCCGGGGCTGATTTCTCACTTTGTCTCTCTGAATTTCTCTGTCTCTCTCTCTCTAGCAAGCACACTTGCCCTATGGCAAAAACCTTAAAAACAAGAAGGAGGACAGGAAAGACCTCACTAAGAAGGAAGAGAGGAAATGGGGGCACGCGCATGTCTGCAGGAAGAATGATCTGGGAGGCGGCAACGCTGGCAAGAGCTGAAGCCCTGAGGCCGGACCCTGCATGCTGTCCTGAGGAACAGTGAGGAAGGTGTGTGGCTGGAAAGCAGCAAGAAGAGCGAGGAGGCAACGCCATCAGGCAGGAACCAGGAGCCAGGCGGCACCATCCTGCAGGCCACCGTGAGGTCTTTGGCTTTCACACAGAGGCAAGTAGGGAGCGATGGCAAAAGCGGGCACTGGGCCCAGCAGAACCAGCAGCACCCAGGAGCATCGAGTGCAGATGAGCTAAGTCCAGGTCGGGCATCAGGGGAAGGCTGCTGAAGGAGCGGAAAGGGTGCTGGGCTAGAGAGAAGCTGGAGCAGATGACAGAAACCCGCTCCGACAGGAGGAGAACAGAACAAAGAAGATTCTGTGCCCTCTTGTGAAAACATTCCACATGATCCAGGGACCTGGACAGGGCCTGGAAAGCCACGTTGCATGCATTTAAGGTCTCGATGTCTCACTTGCATGGACAATAACTTCACCTACTATAATTACAAACAGCCTCTTATAAAATAGTATGTACTTACATCAGAGTTTGATGTAATAAACTGCTTATAATAAAGATTACTCTGGGGCAGCTGGTGCTATCACAGTGAAGGTGGCTGGATCCCACAAGGCTGACTGTGTGGTTTGAGTCCTGGACCTGGCTGCTTGGAAAACCCACCAGGGAATGTGCATGCATGCCCAAAATCCCAAAAGGAGAATGGAGGAAAAGAGACTGCAGTGTGCTGTCCACCTCAGGGGGTGCTTTCTCACCTTGCCTCTCCTTCGTGTGTTCTCGCTCGCTCACTCGCTCTGTCGCTCGCTCTCTCTCTCTCTCTCTGTCTCCAATAAGCACATGCACCCAACAGCAAATTTAAAAATATATATATTTCATGGCAGGCACACTGGTTGCCAAGAATTCATCTGTGCTGCATTTTAGAACTAACGTTTTTGTCTTTCCTCTCCTTTCATGGAGAAGTTTTTGGAAGGTGCTGTTAGCGGTAATAATGGTTATTGTTATTTTGATGCTACATGTATATAGCACATAGGAGAAAAACTGTCATTTCTTTCCATTCTTCTCTTGCAGAGAAATTCATCAGATTTCTTAACAATTGCAAAAAACTACCATTGTTCTTCCAATTATTGCTTTAGGTCTTTATTAGCTTATAATTTCTCACCTATCCATCTGGCTTTTACAACCTGGCTTTTCTCAAAAAGGAAAACTGTTTCTTGAAGGCACAGTTGATATTTTATCTTTTTAAATGTCCTTCATATTAGCTTAGAGAAAGGTTCATAGTAAGTCCTTATTAATTAACATCTGAATGACCCCTCTGAACAACTGAAAGTATTTCCCAACACAATTACTTCCATGTTTTTATAGCTCAAAACCCTTTGCCCTTTGTTGTTTTTTTGTTTTATAAGGATTATTTAACTTTATTTATTATTATTATTATTATTATTATTTTTAAATTTAACTTGATAGAGAAAAAGAGAAACAGCAAGCGGGAATCAAACTACCAGCCCATTTCTTTTTGTTTTTGCTTTAGAGCATTTTTTTGCTATAGAGTACATGAGCTCACCAGAGACACAAAGAGAGACGGAGAGACAGAAAGCAAGAAATTAACTCCCCTCCCCCAAGAATGGTCACACTGCAATCCCTTCTCCACTCTCTCGGGATTTTGGTCATGTGCGCACACACGCTGAGCAAGAGTTTCAAGCTGCCAGGTCTGGGACTTGAACCATGGTCAGTCACATGGGAGTCCAGTGCCTTAACCACTACATCACCTACTGGCCCCTGTTTTTTTTTTATAATTGTCCCCAGGTACATGCATTCAACAGAGACAGAGAGAAGGAGAAGGAGAACTACCCCTCACTAGACGTGGTCATGCTACAATCCCTTCTCCTCCATTTCCACATCTTCTGGGGATTTGGAGCACATGTGTGTCCACATCCAATGTGTTCCTCATGCTGGGGCAGAGATCTGAACATGGTTGGACATGTGGGACCCAGCTTCCTTAACCACCAGGGCACAGGGTTGGCCCAAGTATGTTTTTACTGTACATATGAGCATTGAAAAAATGCTGTACAACTTTTCATTTTCTCCCCACACTGACCCATACACACTGGCATCCAATAACCTTTTTTTTTGGGGGGGGGAGGTTTTCGCTATAGGGCGCTTGTGCTCACCAGACAGACAGAGAGACACAGAGACAGAAAGTGAGAAATCACCCCCCAGGGGGGATGGCCACGCCGCAATCCCTTCTCCTCCATTCTCCTCTCGGGATCTTGGGCATGCACGCACACGCGCCCGGCATGAGTTTTAAGCCACCGGGTTGGGACGCAAACCACGGTCGACTACATGGGAGTCAAGCGACATAGCCATTACGCTAACTGCTGGTTCCCATCCAATAACTTATTAACAGAACAAAAAAGATGAAAACTTCAAGAGCTGCAAAATATTACAAATATGGTAGGAAATTCCAAATATATCTTACTGTTAATATTCAAAATTCTAATGCTGAAATATATGATTTTGTTTAAAAGACAAAATAGGAAGATAAAAGAAATGGATAAATTTAGATACTTCTTTTTCTTCTACTACTCTTTTTATGAATAAGAATAATATGCATAAGAATCGTTGATAGAGGACAAAGGCCACAAGGTGACTACCATATCTTTTCATTGTCATTTCTGGAGAAGTCTTTTCTTTTTGAAACTTTGCATAACGTAAAGTACATCTTCTTTCTCTGACTTCTCTAAGCATGTGAAGAAAATAGCCTAAGAAATAAAAACTCTCACTGATGCCCAAGAGGATCATTTACATATCATTTACATATAAAAAGATGGCACTGTTTCAGAGTTGCCTTCTAGTCATGTGAAAACGTCAACTGGGAAAAAGAAATTGATGAAGCCTAGACCCGATTCCATGTAAAACCATCTATCAAATGGAGATGCATAAAATGCCTCATCTGATCCTGGGAAGAAGCTTGTATGACACTAAATGACACTTCTACAAAATCCCATACTTTTTGACTTATTGTTATGCTTAATGGATACGGTTATTTCAAAGTTAAGGGGGAAAATGCCTTTTTCTAAATGCTCTGTATGAGATTTTCCATTTCATTGTTTCCTTTTCACAGGAAAGGAAGGAAGGGGAAGAGGGAGAAGGCTGAGCAGGAGAAAACAACGACGACTCCACACATCTTACTTGGGTTGTGCGAGACAGCCTGGTGCCACCATGTCTTGATTGTCCTCGTCAGCCTGGAGTGCGGTGAGCTCTGCCATGTTGACCATCACATCGTTCGTGTGGCCTGGAAGCTGGGGGAGCACTGAAATGATCTTCTCCACGAAGTTGTCCCCATGGTGTCCAACCGCTCCTTGGTAAAGCAAAAGGGAAACCAGATAGGTTTCATAATGCCCTTCTATCTAAACTAACACATATTTTTGTTTCTTGTTACAAATCAGTAACACACATTCGGTATTTTGCCCTTTGCATGTTAATTCGGCTCCCAGTTTGCGTGGCACGTGGACTGCATCGGTGCTCAGTGAGAGCCCACATCACGTCAGCTCTGGTTACCCGCCCACATCTAGAAGGCTTTAGTAAGAACTTGCTGAATAACTAAATAAACGGTCAGCCTACGGTCAGGCAGGTAAATAGTATCGTAGGATAATGTAGCCTGAAATCTTACAGCTGAATTTTACCTTTATTTCAGATAAAGACACTGAGGCCAAGAAGGGCTTAGGGACCTGACCAAGACTCCCCTCATCTTAGTAAGCGCAAAGGCCCGTGTGCCTAGGTCACCTGTACCCACCAAGTCAGGCATGGAAGTTGGCAGCAAGTAGGCTCTCACTAAACATATGTTGGATAGTGGAAAGAACAAATGATAACAACCTGCTCTGCCAGATAATTGTGCTGTGTTCTAAGAACCATTCTAGGAGCTTTACATTTATTAACTACTTTAATAACAAATACATTAATGAATTCAAATGAAAAGTCAAGACTAATGACATGTTCAATGCTTTTTATATGAAACCAAGTTACCTCTCCAAAAGACATCATTGCTTAAGATATCATTCCAACAAGAGTGGATCTTGGGGACCAGCAGGTGGTATAGTGGTTGGGGTGCTGGACACTCCCACATGGTCGACTGCAGTTCAAATACTGGACCTGGTGGCTTGCTTTCTCACTTTCTCTCTCTCTCTCTCTGTATCTCTCTCTGGTCAAATTAAAATAAATGAATGAATAAATAAAATTAAATAAATAATTATTTAACAATTTAAAAAAAAAAGAGTGGCTCTTGCCACATTTACTCATCATGACCCCATCCACTTCATATGAACTACCATTTTGCCTCCTAATGTCTCGCTGTCTGTAGATCTCCCGTCTCTTTTTTACAAGAATTATTTTATTTTATTTGTTTATTCATTCATTCATTTTTTAAAAATTTGACCAGAGAGGGACAGAGCGAGGGGGCGGGGGTGGGGGTTGGGAGTGAGAAAGCAAGGCGCCAGGTCCAGGACTCAAACCATGGTCAGCCATGTGGAAGTCCACCACCCTAAATCACCACGCTGCCTGCTGGCCCAGATCTCTCTTGTTTCTTAACATAACAGGAAGTAGGAAAGGCCAAACTAGGAACCCAAGGAATCATTATTATCACCATCATCATCTTTATCAAAATGGCTAATATTTATTAAAGGCTTATACTATGCCAGGTACTAAGCACTATGCTTTATATTTATCACCCACCTAATAGGTATTGAGGGCTTAAACACTAGGTACTAAGTTACACACAGTACACTTATTACCCACCTCACTCTTATAACAAGTCTAGTAGGTGGGTTGTATTTTAGTGGATGTATACTTCTTCAGTTACATGGAAGAAGATTCTATTTAAATAACATGCTCAAGATCAAATAAATAACTTATAAATTGAAAAGTAAGATTCAAACCCAGGAGCCAAATCATTACAAAAACCATGTTCTCAGTTAAAAAAAGAAAAAAAATCCCAGGCCCAGACTTCACCCTCCTGACCCCAAGATCTACCCAGAGTAATCCTCAATTCCCATGGAATCTGCAGTACAAAGGGAGAAAAACGGTACTGCAGAGAGATTGCAGATCACCTTCTCTTGCACGCCTCTGAACACTCAGGTTGAACTCCAAAAATTAGGAAAAAAAATGTATAATTCATCAGATGTCCAGAAACCACCGCAGAGGCACAAGAAATATGAGAAGCCAAGAAAGTATCTCTCTTCACCCTCCACAGACAATACAATGTAACTTGTGGAAATGTCAGATAACAAATTTATAATATTCATAGTGACAAAGCTAATAGAGATGCAAGAGAAGAGACAACAAATTCCAGAAGATGCAGGAGAAAACAGATGAATTCCAGAAGGCAAGGAAGTTCTTGCACAATATGAAAGAGGAAATATACACCATAAAAAAAAGAAACAAACAATTGTTGAAGATGCAGGCTGTAATACAGGAAATCAAAATCTCCCTTGAAAGTATTAAAAACAGATTAGATCATGCAGAAAACCGAATCTCAGATGTAGAAGGCAGGACCTCTGACCTAGAAAAAGTCACCAAAAAAACTGAGAACATAACTTCAAAAATGAGAATAATATACGAATAATAGTAGATACCATTAAACACCCAAACATCCAGATAACCAGTATCCCAGAAGGTAAAGAAACAAATAAGGGCATTGATCATCTATTCCATGCAGTTTTGGAAGAAAACTTTCTAAACCTAAAGAGGCATTCAAATATCCAGACCCAAGATATACGAAGGACCCCCACATAGAATCAACCTAGGAAGATCTTCTCCAAGGCACATCATAGCCAGATTGACCGAAACACAGAGAGACAAGATATTAAAATTGGCAAAAGAGAAACATCAAGGTACTTTCAAAAGATATCCCATCGGGCTAACATCAGACTTCTCATCAGAAACAATGCAAGCAAAGAAAGAATGGGAAAATATATTCAAAGTGTTCATTGAAAAACAATTTCAACCAACAATACTATACCTGGCAAGATTCTTCTTCATATGGGAAAAGAAGATAAAAACATTCTAAGATAAACAAACCCCGAAAGAATTTATCAACACCAGACCAGCTCTCCAAGAAGTTCTGAAGGGAGTGTTATACCAGGAAAACTAAAGTCAGACACGCAGAAATAACAGTACAAAAAATAACCAACAGGGAGCCAGCAAGTGGCGTGGTGGTTAAGGGGGCTGGACTCCCACGTGGCTGACCACAGTTCGAGTCCCAGATCTGGCTGTTGCTTTCTCACTTTCCCTTTTTCTCTCACTCTCACTTTGTCCCTCTCTGGTCAAATTAAAATAAGTAAATTAATAAACAAAGTTAAAATAATTCTTAAAAAAAAGTGAATGGCCAACTTAATGGTAGGGACAAGTCCAGAAAGATCAATAATAACATTGAATGTTAACTTCCAGAATTTAAACAGAAAGATTGGATCACAGCAACACTGTAAATTCAACAGAAGAGAAGTTAATTACATGAGACTAAACTGTTGAAATAGAATTTTATGACTTTTTGACTAAAACATTACTAATTTTCGTCTATGCTTTGTTTTCCAGATTTAAGGATTTTTATCTTCTCTTGAACTGTTGATAGGTTCATCCACCTACTGTTTGAACTGAGTCCTAGCCTTTTTCCTGGCTTTAAGTCTTAAGCAAATTTCTCTTCACATTTTTTGATTCTGATCTATTAAAACTAAAACTGATTTTCTTGAAATTAAAAAATGCATATTAAAGAAAACCTATTGAATGATTGCATTAAGGTATATAGCCCCAGCTAGGCGCTACTTTATAGTATGTTCATTCTACTCACTGAGGTTTAAGCCTAAAGTCAGACATGTGACATGTGTTCATAGATATGTACATATCAACTGCATTTGCTTTTGAAAGTATTTAGATCTATTAAGATCTTTTGTGAATCAATAAAATGTGGGGGGGAAAAAGGCATAGAAAGTAACTGTAGATACCAGAAACAGTGTGGGAGGAAGGTGGAAAATGGCAAACGGTGAGAGGTAGGGAATCACCAGGCAAAAAAAAAAAAAAAAAAAAGGAAAAAAAAGAAGCACAACATATAGAAACGAGAAACAAAAACTCTTTTGTTGATGATAACACATCTGGTAATATCCTTGATTGAGCCAATATACAGCGTATTCTTGGTGGAAAATCTCATTTTGTATACTATATTGATGTACAGTGAATGAATATAAATTTTTTAAAAATTCAAAAGGTAACTTAAGGCAGAGTCAGGAGGCTAGGGGTTTCTAAGGTGATTTCTGATGTTAAAGTAAAGGGTTCTTGTTCTATCAGTAGAATATTCCTTTATTAAGCCTAGAAGAAATCATGTTTTATTTATGTTGTCTGTGGTTTACGGCTGTCTCCCCAGCACTCAGAGAAGCTTCTTGTTACTCAACAAGATTATTAAGTGGCCCAGAGGTTGGTGTGGGAGAGGGGTGGTCGGAAGTCTCCAAGTGAGTTAGGTCTTTAAATTAAACTCAACAGGATTCCCTCATAGTGTCATGAATTTGTTTCTCTTCACTAACTCCTTTCTCATTTACTAAAAATTTGTATAAATCTCGGGCCAGCAGCTGGCATGGTGGTTAAAAGGTGCAGGCCTCCCACATGGCCCACCACGGTTTGAGTCCTGGACCGAGCAGCTTGCTTTCTCACTTTCACAGTCTCTCTTTCTCTCTCTCTCTCTCTCTCTCTTTCACTGTAACTCTGCCCCTCTCTGGTCAAATTTATATATATATATATAAAGTTAAATATAATTGCTATTTTAAAAAAATATATATAAGTCTCCGCTTATCATCCAAGTAAGTTTTCTTTGAATTTGATGCTCAATTTCTGGCTCCCATCCCAAGCTAGTCTTACTTTCCCCCTGCCATTCACAGACACGTGGAGTGAACTCACTCGTGTTCTGTGTGCCGCCCTGTCCTAACTTCGTTAGCCTCTACAACCTGGCCGTCACTCACTGTTTCTTCTCCCACACCAGGGATCTTTGGCAAGTCTCAGTTCATCAAACCCTCTACAAATTGGAACTGTTAAGAATCCTCGTGAAACTTTCCAAATATGAAAAGTAAAAACATGAATTGCTCATTAAGAGTTATTTTTACAGAATCAAAGTATCATTTATATTACTAAAATATTGTATACAGGGGCCAGCAGATGGCTTGGTGGTTAAGATGCTGGACTCCCATATGGTTGACTGTGGTTCGAATCCCAGACCTGGTAGCTTGCTTTCTCACTTTCCCTTTCTCTCTCTCTCTCTGTCTCTCTCTGGCCAAATTAAGATAATAATAATAAATAAAATCAAATAATTATTTTTAAATATTG